GAAAGAAGCTCGTTTCTTCTCGATAGGTAAAGAAGGAAAGCATTCTCGTTTCGTAAAGATGGACGATTGACCGATCGAAGCGGAGGATCGTCTCGGTTGAGATTTCTTTCCGACGATCGTGGACATCGATCGGAAAACAGACGCGGGGCAGGTTGTTAACGCGGTGCGTCGACGAGAACAGAGAGTTCTGGAGGAGTGGCGAGACGGGAAGGAAATGTTGAAACTGTTATCGAAACGCGGCGCGGTGCCGACTGGCCGCGCGAACACCGAGAAACGAACGGTGTCGTGCATGCGAGTTCTTTGTACAGTTTCACCGTAACAAAACCATATCAGTGTAACCTAGACTTATTTAATATGTGCGAATACGTATGCATATTAAAATTGTGCGTCGTGTTTAAAGATAGCTCTTGTATGTTAAATAAAACGAGACTAAATAAAATTGTTGATACGTGATATAGAACTCGATCCTTTAATACGCGTCCCCTGACTCTCGCGTGTCCTCTGATTTTGCAGGTCGAAAATATACCTTTAACACTAGAACTACCGTACCGGTCGAAATGACTGGTTTCGATTTGTTTGTTTCGTAGTTATTAAAAGCATTGAATATTTGAAATGATTTTGGAAATGAATAGTTTCACTTGAGTACTGTGATGAGTATCCAAAGAAACTGAAAATTTGTTGTCACAATTTTTATAGGGATTATATATTAATCGTATTAAATGCTCGGTAGTTCCAGTGTTAATATTATTATAGATAGTGTAATATTCTCTAGAACATCCTTTCATTACCATGCATTAACCCTTTGCACTAGAAAATTGTTTCGCTAGATATATTCCTCATTCTCTAATGAAATATCAATGATATGTTTTATAATTGACACTAGAGCTACCATACCAGTCAAAATGACTGGTTTCGATTTCTTTTGTTTGGCAATTATTGATATCTTCAATATTGAAAATGAAAAATGATCTTGAAAATAAATAGCTTTGAGTTGAATACTATAATGAATGTTTGAAGAAACCGAGAATAATCTATTGCTAGAATTTTTATAGGGATTACATATTAATTGTATTAAATCCTCGGTAGTTCTAGTGTTATCGTGCTACCGAATACAATAATATTGCAAATGGCAAATCCTTAATCGATGTCTGATTATTAACCTTGAAGAGATCGGCCATATTGGCGGCATGGCACTTTTACTTACTGTGGTCTAATGCTGCATGCATAGCGGTAAAAATCAGTTTATTATTTTCATCACCGTTATTGTTGCAATATTTACTTTCGATGCGTTGATGATTAACCCTTTGCACTCCAGAAGTTTTTCACTGGAAATACTCAACATTTTCTAAGGAGGTACCGACAACATTTCTTCAAACTTTAAAGTTACCGAGTAGGCATTACCAAGTAATGCTAATAGAATTCGATGAGTCAAATTGACTCGTTCCGTAAATCTAGTGTTGAAACTTCAAACATTCAGCAGTTACCACATGTGGGTTAATTTTTGCAACAAAATATTTTTAAGGGACACATGGTCAAGAATAGCTGTATACGTCACAAAACACCGAAAACAAGAAACGATATCAAAATATATAAAATTAAAAAAAAGCTTGAATATAACATAATATTTTATTTAAAAAATCAACGCAGTTCATAAGCAAAATATGAATGAAATTTCCGTGGCATTCAACGTGTTAGCCAGTTAAGTGTGGAATTTAGTTTGAAAAATCTCTCATTGCGCGCAATAAAATCAAATAATGAAGCGTATACTCGTTAAACGCAGGCCGAATGCACTTGAAATATATCCTAACGGAAAACTAAAGCGAAACGAAGAAGAATTACATGTTTGTCTCAAAAAATAAACAATCCATCGTTGAAAATGTTTGCACCATTAAGAGTTTTAACATATTGCGGACCGGTAACGAGAAATCTCGTTTTTATATGAAGACACTTAGCTATGCAACTTCGCTCATTACCACAGTATTGGAAAAATATAAAATTTAATTCGAATTGATTGTCTATTTAAAATATATTACATAACAATATATCTGAGTTTTTCTATGTATAAGTTGACCTCACTGAAAATTGCCATCACAATTCAGTTTTCTGAAAATTAGGTACGCAATGCGTTAACACTAGATTTACTGACATTTACTGTATAGTTTGCCCTATTGTTCTTAGAAAAATTGTTGTTCGTTCATTTAGATTTTGGAAATTAGAGGTTTAACCCTTTGCGGACGAACGTCGACGTTTCGGCGAGATGAAGTGTATACTCGTCACAGTTAACTGGTTAACGAGAAATCGTACATAAATTGATGAACGAAGTTGATTTCTTTCAATGTCACATATCGATGCATCGTGCAAAGTTTAATAATGAACATCAAACTTCATAAGTTCGCTGCAAATCAATTAGCGACTCAGAGGCGACGGAGTGCTAAGGGTTAAAGGTAACAAACGTAACTTGTAATAGAAATGATCGGAATAAAATGTTGACACAGCTTAAATCGCGAGCAATCTGTTCGCGTGCTCGGATACGGAGTTTACGATAGACATAATTTTCACTTTCCACGAATGTTTGTCGATCAATGGAAGCTTAACCCATTCGAGACAGCGATTTTTTTCGAACGCGGTCCCCATTAGCGAAATTCTGTCACAGGGTTTTCCAATTAAGTTTTCTAAAATCTCTAGACGATAGTCATAAAAAACTCAATCTTTTTTTTATTGTTGGTGAATATGTTTATTTAGTTTTTCTATACTTCACAGATACTATTAATTAAGAAAAAGTCTTAATTCGACGACTACGTTACTCAGAACTGATGAATGCTGATTATTATTATTGCACACGCGGTGCAACCGGTCTCGAATGAGATGTTAAACTGTTGCCGATAAAGCTGTTGATGCTTACAACTTCTTTGGAAACAGTTTTTATGTTGCCGTCTCGCGTAGTTCGGTGGATATCCTTTCTACTCGGTGCAGAGTCCGCTATTGTACCAGGATATCTTCGTTCGTGTCGGTATTTCAGCGTTCCGGGTGTCCAGGTCGACACAATAGACATCTTCCGCGACGAAACAGCACGGAATATTTCATTTCTGCTTGTTGAATGTCTATTTGTAAAGATGAACGACACAGTGTGAAGAAACTAAGTGTATATTTATTAACCCTTAGCACTCCAGGTTGGTTTGTAATCTATCAGCAACTGCTAATTTTTATAGTATTCCTAGCGAAAATTAGAAGTGCTATAACATTTCTTCGATCTTTTATTTTCCTTGTTAGTGCAAAATTTGGATGTGCGGAAAATCGAATGACTTTAGGGTAGTTTCCTTTTAACCCTTTGCACACCGAAGTTTTTCACTAGAAATATTTCAACATTTTCTGATGAGACGAAAACGATATTTTGTAAAACCCACTCGACGAGAAATTCACGTGAATTGACAAAGCAATTTTACGTCAATATTTCTCAGATTGATGCATTATATGAAGTGTAATATTAAATATCACTTTATAGCTTCACAGTAGGAAATCAAGTGGTGACTGAGTCACCTCCCGAGTGCACAGGGTTAAGATTCATTGAAATATTTAATATTATTCCTGGTGCAATGTTGGAGCCTACAGAGTTCAAAGGGTTAAAGTACGTATTACGGTATTTACAAAAACTGAAAAACAGAACGCTGTTCAACGGTTGCGTTTGCTACGAACTGCCGAACGACGCGGAGAGAAAAAAAAGACGCACAGCAGGTGCAATAAAAATGGCTGTTTGCGGGAAAAACAACTGACTCCTGCGAGGGAGAAGACTGCACCAACGGATGCTTTGTAGTCATTAAAAATATACTTCGTGTTCATTCTCAACACTGCTACTTTATACGCGTTACTAACGAAAACGACTATTTCAATTTTCGTTTACTTTGAGAAAACAACGACAGTTTCTGTTTAAGCTGGAGGATCCTCGGAAGCGTCTGTGACCTCGGTGTCGCGGAAGATTTGAAACTTGTCGATGTAAACTAAATTACCTACGTACATCATTCACGAGTATTTAACACAACTTGTCAGCGAGAAAGTGGTCAATAGTCGGTAGCGATCAATATACGTCACTTTAGTAAATTACTTAACAGTGGTCAATAGTGGTCACTGAGTGAATGGCAGTACTACTTTAAAAATTCAAATTAATCATTTATTATTAACCGATTCTATATGACATCATCGTGAGAGAATTTCGAGGACTTTGTTTTTAACAATAGAACTACTGTAATATGATTAATATGCAATTAGTTAATAGTGGTCAATTGTGGTCACTCAGTGACTACTACTTTAAACATTCAGAATTAATCATTCATTACTAATCAATTCTATATGACATCATCGTGAAAGAATTTCAGGGACTTTGTTTTTAACAATAGAACTACTGTAATATGATTAATATGTAATTAATTAATAGTGGTCAATTGTAGACACTCAGTGACTACTACTTTAAAAATTCAGAATAATTCATTACTGACCAATCCTACATGACATCATCATGAGAAAATCACAAGGATTTTATTTTTAACACTACAACTACCCAGCGTTTCATACAATCAATATTTAATTCTCATAAAAATTGTAACAATAGATGACCCTCTGTTCTTTCAGACATCCATTGCAGTATTCAAACGAAACTATTTATTTCCAAGATCATTCCGAATACTCAATACTTTCAAGATATCAATAATTGCGAAATAAAAAAATCTATTAATCATCTGCAATATATAAGCTTATATATTCAGGAAAAAATATCGAAACAATTATTTAAACACTATAGAATCTAAACTTTTGTAATAATAACAATTATCCCGACACTACAGATTCTTATTAACCCTTTGAACTCTGTAAGCTCCAATATTGCACCAGTTACAATATTAAATATTTTAATGAATCTTAAAGAAACTACCCTAAAATTATTAAATTTGTCACACATCCAAATTTTGCACTAACAAGGAAAATAAAAGATCGAAGAAATGTTATAGCATTTTTCATTTTCGCTGGGAATACTATAAAAATTAGCAGTTGCTGATAGATTACAAAACCATCTGGAGTGCTAAGGGTTAAGTTTGAGGTTTTTCCTTGGCTCGAAGAGTCGTCAATTTGTAGGTTTCCTGAACGAAGGTTTAACACTAAAACCGAGCTTGCATTGAGTTTTTGAAGTTGTTCTGTAGACTTCGAGAGTGCGTCTACTGTGACTTTAATTGATTTATCAGTCAGTTTGCGTACTGTTAACACGTAGAATGCCACGCGATTCCGTAGAGCAAAATACACAAAACGGAAAAAATATGTTTTCAAGCCATTTGCTTGAATTGCATTATTGTTATTGCACGTTCATGTAGCCGAATGTCACTGCATTAGGTAGCGTTATTTATAATATAGAATAATAATAATCAATAATAATCCGAGTTAAGGGTTAACACGAATGCCATGGGGATCACCGGTGACCTCCAAGCAAATCGAATTACTAGAGTTCACTCAATTAAACGATGATTATTCGCAAACATTTCTATACTATAAACAATGCTACCCATTGCGGTAACATTCAGTTTGATGAACGTATAACAATAATAATCCAATTCAGTCAAATGATTTAATCGTTTGACTGCTGAGGATCTCTTATGTTTTGCCAAATGGTAAAAAGCGCGATAGCGCTCCTTTTTTGTTCGTTCATAATTAATTTGCTCCATTTGTAAAAAGGGAATTCACGCGCTTTGTATAGCAAACTCGTGTAAAGGATCATAAAAAATTATTTCTGTTAATTCGAGTGAATTATAAGTGCTTTTTATTAATTTCATCCACAAATTGAATTAAAACGAATTTAAGTAAATAAATGGTATTTTTAAAAATCTTTGTCGTTGCAATGCAATACAAGTGAGTTTATTCTATGAAAAGTGTTTTCCATTTTTCCCCATACACGCGCAATTAGTGACGCAGTTTTGGCGTATGTCGGAAAAAATCCGTCAGCAGTCAAACGGTTAATACTGTATTTTTTCCATTTTGTGTACTTTGCTCGATGAAAGCGTGCGGCGTTCGATGTGTTAACGCGTCGAACGCCGGCTAAATTTCAGCTACTAAAAGCGCGAGCGTCGGTGATTGTGTTGATACATTTTTAACCCTTAGCACTCCAGGTTGCTTTATAATCTATCAGTAACTGCAACTAATTTTTATATTCCTAGCGAAAATTAGAAATGTTGTATTTCTTCGATCTTTTGTTTTCCTTCCTAGTACAAAATTCGGATATGCGAAGAATCTAATAATTTTAGGGTAGTTTCTTTAAGATTCATTAAAATATTCAATATTACAACTGGTGCAATATTGCAGCCTACAGAGTTCAAAGGGTTAAACGTCGATTGAACCAAAATTTCCACCTAACGGAAGAGAACAAGGAATTCGAATTTGTAAATTTTACTTTCGACTTGTGTTACACATATCTAAAATATTACACGAACTTAGGATTAGCAATTAAACGATAGACTAAAAATCCCGCATTATTCTTCGCGGGGCCGGCGTTCAATGTATTAATCCTCTGCACTGGAAAGGTGACTGTCACCACTTGATTTGATACAGCAAAACTACGAAGTTGAATATTTAGTGTTTTAAATTAAATTTTGTATTGCAGTGTGAAATATTTAAATAAAACAGCTTTGTTGCTTAATTTATGTGTGAAATATCTTTAAATTAGTTTCAAACAATGTCGTATTTATCTCATCAGAAAATGTTCAAATATTTCTACTGAAAAACTTCCGAGTGCAAAGGGTTAACAGAAATTATTCTGTGCAATGCCGGTTGCAGACCATCAGGGTCGCGGTCACGTACGCGTGACAGCGGCCGCCAGCGCGATGGCGATTCCTAGAGGGCAAAATCTAGCGTTTTCCCTATCCCCGCAATGAGTAAGACAAGGACAGAACGAGTGTGCGACAAGGATGGAGAGAGAAATCCCGATGCCACCTACTTGGAAGAAGCATCTCATCAGTCCCTGGTACCTACTCGCGAAGCATGATGACCGAAGAGGTATCCGAGCTAAAATAAATTCTCAGTGGTGGGGGAACTGATCTACCTTATCCCTCGTCGATGCTTCGCGTCGTTGGTAAAACAGATCTATAGTGCATAACCTTCAATCGGTAATTGCCAATTAGCACACAATAAAAAATTGAAACTTTCTGTTAATTTGAGTGATTTTAAACCATCGGAAATTCGATAGTTTCATTCGAGTTGTTTTATAATCTATCAGCAACTGCAACTAATTTTTATAGTATTCCTAGCGAAAATTAGAAATGCTATATTTCCTCGACCTTTTATTTTCCTTCTTAGTACAAAATTCGGATGTGCGGAGAATCTAATAATTTTAGGGTAGTTTCTTTAAGATTCATTAAGATGTTTAATATTATTTAATATTATAACCAGTGCAATATTTCAACTTTTTCGATTTTAGTACTCTCATGAACTGATTTGTCTCTGGGACGGTGGTTGATAAAGTAGATTTCCTGGGTTACTTTAATGATTGCAATGTTATCTTCCGTCGATTTGCAATTTGCAAGTTTGCAAAATTGCAGTTTTTTTGTTTTGCAAATGATTCGAAGCGGAGATTTGAATGTCTCGAGAAATATTCAGAGGAAGAGGTATAATGAAGTATAATCATTATCGTCGATGACAGGGGAGGAGAGATTATAGACAGAGGAGTATAATCCACGCATCCATGTTTTATTCCTACACACATCTAATGCGCATCGTCATAACTTTACAATTAATTTTTGCCAAAGCGGTATCGTGTGAGCGAGAGATCCTTCGTTTCTATTTAGGACACGCAACGCGAGATCGAATCGTTCGGGGACGCGCGAGCGCGCGCGCGCGCGCGATTCCACAGTCAAAAATATATTTCACAGTTGCATTCGAACGTGGTATTCTATTCCGTATGTACAGTTTTCGGGGTTTGCGTCGGCTCCGATCGCAAACCGGCCGCGTTCTCTTTGGTCGAAAGGGAAACCGACACGTTCGTCGATTCGGGTCGTTCCCAGGCATGGCGGAAAGTTCTTGGGAACCTTCGAATCGAGTGGACGACGCTAAACGGAGTCTTCCGGAGTCTCCTCCGAAGTCATTGGCGAACCGGCTCGCCTTTAATCGGCGACCGATCGCGCGGAATCGCGAGCGTTTCGCGAGGATCGCGTTATCGTTGAGATTCTTGGGGGTTTCCCGACGGGCTGCTTCGGGTCATCGTTTAATGTTCATTGAGCCACGGGAAACACGATCGGTCGATGAGCGAAGAGTGATCCGGGGGTGGAAACATCGATCGAGGGGCGTCAGTATGCGTGAACGCGGCCGAACGCGTCGTCGCTTTGACGATTCGCGGCGTCGGCGTGGCCCCGATCGGCCTCGTAGTCCGTCGGTCACATCGAGTGTTGCGGCGGCGGCAGCATCAATTCGTATCCGGTCGGCATACTCTGCTGGTGGTGATGATGATGGTGGTGATGATGCGCGGTGGACATCATCTGATGATGCGGTTGCTGGTAGTACTGGTGGTGCATGCTCGAGTGGCTCGAGTAGTAGACGGAGCTCTGTTCGACGTCCTTGCCTGGAACATTGCGATCGAAAGGCTAGACAGTTTCGTGAAAGGGTGCGAGGGAAGGGGTGACAGTAGTTATTCGAATTATAGTTTGACTTGATTATTATACTGTGGCGTTGCCACGGAAACCTCCAGTTTTATCGCTTGTTCTTTTGTAGAGACGAAGAGGAACAGTTCCTTGTCATTTGGTATCAGTGCTTACGTTACACTGTTATCTAGTAATTCATGTTATGAAATGTTTTCAGTAGACATTATCTGACAAATTATAATTGTCAGGCAATTTCGAAGCTCCTCTAACGTAACACGGTAAGCGCCGTGTCAGTCACCGAGGACGCTTGTGAATTACTTGAAAGCAATCGTAACGAAATCAATCGAATGAAAATATTTAATAATGCAATTAAGTTGATAATAGTGTAACGCAAAGATTGTAGTAATAAGAAATAATTGCTCCTACTTCTATTTGCTAGGAAAGAGTGACTACGGAAACGGTCAAGGTTAGGTCTTGGTTAGGTCGACATTAGTTGTCTGACAGATTATAACTATTGTCAAGTAATTTGAAAGCTCTGGTCATCGGTGACCGGCAGTCAACGTGTTAACTCCTTGCTGGGGTTATACAAACATAGGTATCTAAGGAGACACTATACAACAGTAATAATAATAAATAACTGTTCCTACTTCTATTTGCTAGGAAAGAGTAACTACGGAAAAAACGGTCAAGGTTCCCGTGGCGCTTAACCCTTTGCACCCCGTAGGCGCCTCTCAGTCGCCAATTGATTTGACACAGCAAAATTATACAGTTTGACATTTAATATTAAACTTTGTACAATGCATCGACACGTGAAATATTAAAATAAAACAGCCTCTTTCTTTAATTTATCTACGATTTCTTGTTAAGTCAGTTTGAAAGAATGTCGTTGGTGTTTCATTAAAAACTGTTGAGTATTTCTAATGAGAAACTTCTGGAGTGCAAAGGGTTAATGTGTTAACAGTTTGAAAACCCGCTCGAAAAGTGGCAAGCGACGCGATCGCGCTTTTCGTTTGTTCAGAAACTGAATTACTTTTCTATTTTTACATTAACCTGTTAACTGTGGAATTTAGTTCGAAAAACCTCTCTCTCTGCGCGCAATAAAATAAAATGGAGCGTGTACTCGTCGAACGCAGGGCGAATGCACGTAGAGTGTATTTTAACCCTTTGCACTCGGAGTTTTTTTTCATTCGTATTACCAGCAACTCGAAGCAATTTCAGTGGAATGATCATATTCACATATAAGTAAATGATATGCGCATTAAAGGAAAAGTCATTGTCGTATGTTATTGTTTCTTGAATCGATTATGTATACAAATGTTATAATATATAAAAAAAACAGAAAATTGTAAAATTAATATCCTATACACAATAGTTTTTACGATTTGTCTTTGTCCTTATGTTATGAACTGAAAATTATTTGCATTGTCTCCATAGCGGAGCCCTCGAGTTGGAAGACGAATTTTAAATGAGTGCAAAGGTTTAATTAAAGACAAAAGCAAAACAAAGAATTACATGTTTATCTGAAAAAATAGAATTCACTGTTGAAATAATTAGTATCATTTCAAGCTTTAAGACACGTTTTAAACACAGTTAATTGATTAAATATCATAGGACAAGGGATTAACAGAGAAGCGCGATCGCTTGGCACTCGATTAACCCTTTCGCGATGACGCACCTATACCATTCTTCGTTACGTTTCGCAGCAGTGCGACTGACCATACTTTGCCACTTTCCGCGACGGCGCGACTGACCATACTTTGTCGTCGTTCGCGAAAACGCAAGTGAACCATGCTTCGCCACCAATGTATTTATAGCTTTATTTCGAGTGGGCAATTAAAATGAAATAATAATATAAAAAAACCAATAAGTGACTGCCGTATATACACGGCGTCAGCCGCTGTGATGCGCCAAGTGACTGCCGTATATACACGGCACCCGTCGCGAAAGGGTTAACGCTGAGACCGATCGGATCTTCCGACGTCCCTCGTCGAGGGCGCGCTTCCGTTGTCTTGGATTCGATCCGTTGGATCTCTAGAGACTAACGCCATGCATTGCCGCGCGTTGAGTACACGCCTCTGTGTGAAAGATACTGTAGAATACTAAGGAGACACCATAGAACGGTATTTAACCAGTTAACTGTGGAATTTAGTTGGAAGAACCTCTTTCTGCGCGCAGTAAAATAAATTGGAGCGTGTATTCGTCGAACAGGACGAATGCACGTAGAGTATATTTTAATGAAAGATCAAAGCGAAAGAAATTACATGTTTATGTGAAAATTAATTCATCGCTGAAAGAATTAGTGTCGTGTGAAGCTTTACGACGACGTGTATACTCCTCGAACACAGTTAACCCTCTATGGGCCGAATCTTTGTTCGTGATTATAACAGAATCTATGCAGTGCAAAATTAATAAGTATCCACATATGAATACGAGTTAACAATGTATTGAATAGTTTCAATAATTTCATCGAACGAGTATATTTTGTAACTTTCTTAACTGTTTAAGTTAACTGATTACTTAATTTTACTCGCCACTTTGAGTGCAACATGACATAAATCGACAAGATTCCGATATACTGACATGTGACTTCAAAGTTACATGGTCCTACAGAGGGTTAACTGGTTAAACATCATAGGACAAGAGATTAACGGAGAAGCGCGATCACTCGATTAACGCTGAGACGTCTATAGATTCTAACGAGTGCATCAAACTTCACGAGTAACAGAACATCAGTGAAAATATCTGAATACCAGGTGTTTATCAGATAAAGTTAACTGGTTCACGCGTCGACTGCCACGGAAACCTTCAGAGTTTTATGTATCACTTATTCTTTTGTAACAAAGATAAAGAGGAACTGTTATTTATTGTTTGATAGCGCGATCACTCGATTAACGCTGAGACGTCTATAGATTCTAACGACTGCGTCAAACTTCACAAGTAGCAGAACATCAGAGCAAAGTATCTGGCTACCCTGTGTATATCAGACAAAGTAGAATCGAAGGTGCAGCGACTCACCGGTGTCGTAGACGCCGCGGCCGTAGCAGAGCGCCTTGACGTCGTTCATGGGGCTGAGTCCTCCGTTATGGGGATGCGTCGCGTGCACCGAGGACGGAGTGACGGGAGCCGCGTATCCGTGATGATGCGCGCCCATGGGACTCATCCCCATAGGGCTGCACGGGTTCACGCCGACCGGCGACATGCCCATCGTCGACAGCGGCGACATGGCCAGGTTCGGGCTGTCGGAGTCGATGCTCTGCAAGGACTGTATGCTGCCCCCGTTGCTAGTGGTACTGCCGATCGCGTTACCAGCGCCGCTCTGGCAATTCAGCGGCAGCATGTCCCTGAAAAGACAAGAAGCGCGGTTACGCAACGCGGGCCATCTCGCGAGAGTTCGGTTCCAGGAACAAAGGACGCGATAATCGAGACGGACGACCGTGTCGCGGTTCGGGGGTGAAAGACGCGTGAACCGTGGAACGCGTCGCCGAGCGAAGCGGACCAAGGCCGCTCGTAAATCTTCGCCCTCTTCAACGTGTCCCGGCGACAGGCCGCTGGAAAAGGCCACGGGAATTCGGGAAGAGTGTGTGCCGAACGAGAAACATATGCCTGGCCTCCTATTGTCTTACCGGGCCGTCCGAGAAAAACCTATGACCCTTGGCCCGGGAACAGCCGAGGCGATTAAGGGGTCGCGCGCGCTCGAGCGGCCGCCCCCGTGTCGTTTCCAGGAATGTTCCAGTCGCCCCGTTCCCGGCGAGAAAGGTCGACGGGAGAGGCCACCTTATTCACGCATTGTTCCCCGTCGCCGTAGGAAACAAACGTCTCAGTCGTTTGCACGCGCGCCTTTTTCTCTGCCCCCTCGCCCGCCGGTCCCCCTCGCAGCGGCTGTATCTTTGCTCCACGGCTAGGCCGGCCGCGTACGTGGCCGGGACACGCACGTGCATACACGGTGGTCCATGTGCAACGAGCTCCGCCCCTGACCATGGCTCGTTCACGGCACTTCCCCCGGGCCTCTCGTTCGACCTTCTTTCGCAAGCACGGGACGCCCGTTTTTATGATCGCGACTCAAGGTCTGAATTTCATTGCGCGCCGGTAGCGCGCGGTCTCGCGTCGCCTCGAGCCGATTACCTTCGAGCCGTGACGAGCACGGTCGCCCGAGAATTTCGTACGCCGATTCAACCGAAAAACGCGAGGAGGAGGATGAAGAGGAAAGATGGCGGCGAAGACGGAGGACCGTGGGCGGGGGGGTTTATCTCGAACATGCGAGATAAATCGCGAATGCGGCGGAGGGCCGGTCGTGGCCTTTATGTAGTAAACTATTGGTAGTGCGAACAGCTCAATGGTGAAACGGGAGACGTAACCGAAGCTGCGTCATAAAACGGTAATGGGGCGTCGCGTTTCCTTTTCCTAGAGCCTTTGCCGAGGGTGGACGTTAAGGGCGAAACGGGCGGCGACGGGGAGAAAGCCAGGACGTACGCGCTGCACGCTCCGAAAAGGAGCGCGCCGCGTTTCGGGGGCCATTCTTCCGAGAAGCGAATATCCGGCGGGGCGGATTCCCGAAGGCGAATCCGAACGATATCGCGCGCTGAGAGAGAAATCGTCTCTTAGCCGGCTCGTCGCGTCAGCGAGCGCGGCTCGCGGTGGTCCGTGACCGAGGCTCGTCGTAGCCATAACAACGCCGCGTTCCTTCTCTTCTCCGTTCTTTCCTCGCTCCACCCACGTCCACGAAGAAGATTTACGAACACGCGTGCACGACTCGCGAAGCGTAATTCGGCGCGCCGTCGACGAGCGAACCGTCGATCGACGGTCGACCACGGCCGAGCGGATATCGCTGTTCATCCGGTTGCGTCGACGGGGTTTACAAATATCGGGCTAATCGCGAGTTCTAGACTTACGCAGGCTTCGCGCGATCGTCGCGGGGAGTTCGTTATCGTTGCTCGATAAGCTCGCGGTCGCGACGCGTCCCGACGCGTCCCGTCTCCGATTCGATAATCGTTCTCGGCGACGATCGCGCTAGGAAACGGACCGACGGAAAATCCGATCGTTCTCGTTACGCGGTGCCTGGAAATTTGATTCGTTCGAGGCAGCCCCCAGGGGTCGAGCGCGTTCCTTCTCCGGGACGATCGCCCCGCGGCTCGTAGAGAATGATTTACCGACTCCGAAGTACCCGCTGTGCCGACCAGAAAGAACGCACGGTCCGGTACACATGTCGAAACACTTGTTGCTCGGTGGAAAAGTCGAGACGACGACCCCCCGTCGGCACACGTGCCCTCCATGCTCGACTTCGCCTCTGCGTTCCGCCTCGGGGAATTTTCCGCGGCGGACCTCGCCTATCCTTTCCAGCCTTCCGTCACGGATCTACCGTCGCGAGGAAATCTCTCCGAATCGTCTCTACGCGCGATTGCTCCGAGCAGATCGGCAAGAAGGGGAAAATACACGCGGACGACTCACGTTCTCGTTTGAGGAGTTCGGTCCCTTTGGCGCCGGTTCTTGAACCAATTCGACACCTGGGTCATCGTCAGCCCTATCTTCTCCGCGAGGTTCTTCTTCTCGTCCTTGTTCGGGTACTTGTTCCTCATGTAGAACTGTTTCAGCGCGGTCCTCGAGCGCTCCTTGAAGCAGTAGACCGTCTCCTCGCCGTCCCAGATCGTCTTCGGCAACGGGTACTTCTTCCGCAGCCGGTACTTGTCCACCGCGCCCAGCGGACGGCCGCGGATCTTCTCCGCCTCGCGGTAGTGCGACTTGAACCACATCTGCTGGAGTTCCTGGTGTCGGCGCGGCGAGAACGGGTGGCTCTCCAGGATCGAGTACAGCTCGTGGCAAGCTCCTCGGTGGAAAGCCACCGCCGCCCTCGCCACTAGAACGCTCTCGCCACCTCGCAGCAGCTCACCCGGCGGCAGAGACCAAAGGAACCTGATCGAAACGATTCCTTTAGAGACTCGAACGACTCAACACGCTCGATCCGCGTCGGTTAATCCGCGGACGAAGATTCTTTGGAATATACGAAACCTTCAGATGAAGCTAAATTGTATACTGATTGCTTAAATAGCGAAAACAAACTACATTCTCTCGCTGTCCGAGTGATTAAATCATTTGCCTGCTAGACATGAATTCATTTCATCTCGAAATGTCGACATTCGAAAAGGGTTAAACGCGAAACCTGTCGCTTGTCAGTATTCGAAGGTTCGAGATTCTTCGACGCGAATCGCAGCTCGAGATCGCTCCTTCTTCCTCCGATTTCGAAGAGAAGTTTCCACTTCGCATCCCAAGCTAACGCGTCGCGATTTCGTCGAATCATCTAGAAACGCGCGAATCTCCGTTCCCAGCGACGGTTTTCTCGCGCGATAACTCCGGAATATAAATATTATTCTCGCGGTATGAATGATCACGTTACCGGTGCTCGAGCGAGGAGCAAGGAGAAGAGAAAGACAGTTCACCTGGTGAGTTTCTCGATATCCTGGCTCTGCGACAACGCTTCGCACATGCAGGAGATCTGTTCCGGCGTGAAGTTGCTGGCGGAGGTTCCCAGGGACAATCCGGCGATGTTCCCGACGTTCGCGGGCCCGTTCGCGGTGTTGCAGCCGGGCAGTTCCTGAGGGTACTGAGGGCTTCCGTTCGAAGCGGACGTCAGATTCTGGGGATGCGAGTGATGGGCCAACGGGAGGCCCGTCATCGACGAGTTGTCGTTGTACTGGCCGGCGACGGACGGGTTCCGATGCACGGCCCCCATCTGACTGTTGCAATCGCTGTTCGGCGATGACAGTTGATCCGAGCTGTCGGACATTATCGATGGATTCGGCACACCGCTTCCCGTCGCTCAGTCGAGGCGCATTTTCCACGAGGATCGCGCGATTCGTGCGCCAGCGGTCTCAAACCAGCCTCGCCTCTATCGCGCGTACGGACGCTACGCTCGGCAGTCCGGCTATCGATCGGAGTATCAAAACGATTCGGTTCGATTCGATGTCCGCGGATCGGCCGGATGAGCGGCTCACGACGAAAGTAAGCATCCGCTGCTCGAACGATCCACGCCAGCCGACGGTTGTTTGATCGGCAGTGTCTCATTCATGTCCCCTCGGCCGAGTTCCCATTCATAAATCCTTATCGCGCTTTCGCCGCGCGCCGCCTGGAACGACGCAAACTTCCGCGATCGTTCTTCCCGGTAATCCTCGCAGCTTCTCCGGAATCGTTCCCGACGTTCCCCCAAAATCAACCGCACTCACGCTCGCACACACACAGATCCGACACTTTAGAGTCCACGGGAAATCCAGGATTCGAACGGTGCTCCACGATGATCCCTTCCGACGGTTTCGCGCCACTGGAAGCCGATCGTCGAGCAGTAACTACGATGAACGGATAATTGGGAAGATGCGAAATAAAGAACTCCCGCGAGAAAAGATCGTCGACGATCGCGACGATGACGCGACGCTGGCAGGCGTTACCGGGATGTTTACCGATTATTCGACACCGTGGTCGATGCCGATGTCGGGTGCCGATGCGGATGCGGGAGTCGCCGTCGTTTCGTTGGTACCGGACGAGGTCGACGATGGTGGTGGCGTCGACGGAGCCGTTCTCTCTTCCTCTTCCCTTCGCCCTCTTTTTTTCGCGGCGCGTTCGCGCGGAGAGGAGTGGAGAGAGGGAGCGGCGCGGCTCTCCGATTGGGCGGCGAGTAGCGCGCGAGCGCGTCCCATTGGCCGAGCCCGGGGGCGGCGCAAACAGCTACCCCCGACGAAAGCCACCCCATTCGCGCGGCAGCCGTGCTTCCACTCTACGGTGGATCCTCACCTGCCGACGCGACGTCCTCGACGAGTTCGATACCACGATTGTACCCCCTACCCGCGCGATTTGTTGTTTCTCGATTAACATCCTGGGACACGGGCGACCGGGAGCATCGCGAAGCCGCGCGGATCTTTTTTTCGCCGGACGACGGCTCGCCCCGGAGTCCGCCGCGGTCGGGAACGTTCGGCGGATCCGTTGCGGGGTCAACGATATTCCGGGATCCCCCGGCGCGTCGTCTGTTCCGTTTATCAGCCCCGGGTGCCAATTAATCGGGCGCGTTATCGCGCGGATGCGTGTGGTCTCGCGGAATCGGGATGCGAGCCGGCCGACGCTCGAGAACACGGGCGGCGGCGAGCGTACCTAACATACTTACACCGGAAACGGAACGCGTCAACGTTACCGTACACCGTGTTGTGATTCTAAGCTGTGCTATCACGCCTCGCGTTCGACTAATTTCATAACAACCGGCAACAATTCCCCGCTTTGCTCGCCGTTCCTTATCTCGGCTCTTGTTCGCGGCCGTTTGTTTCTCCGTTCGTCGGGGACGCCGATCGTTTCTCCGAGGACGAATCGTCGGATCGCTCGAATCAGACTCGTTTCTCGCGCGAACCTAGAAATTCTCGGGTCGGCTCGGTCCGTCGGCAGGAAGTCGAGGCTGCCAGCCGAATGAAAATAGCGCCCGGCCCGATGGACCACCGGCGTTACGTAGATCAATCGGTGCCGATGTCCCGGCAGACGAACGAACTTGTCTTTCGACTGCCACGAAAATCTCGATGCCCGCCACGCCTCGCCAATCCTTTACACCAGCTCCGCCTTTTCCGACTAATTGCCTTCAGTGCATCGTTCGGCGCTGTCGCGCTATGACAGGACGCGTCAAGCGTCCGCGCGATACGCGACACCGACGAATTTCTTTCCGAGACGCGTTCCAACCGGATCTCTCGCAACATCTCGCTCTTCCAATCACGAGGATCCTAGATCGGCCGCAAACTCTACAGACATTCGTATCGTCATTCGAAACCTCGCTCTAACCAGCTCTTTCGCAGCCGAGTAAACTTACAACCGATTCCTTTCATAACTCAACAGGCATTCAAACCCTTACTCCGTCGATCTACTCGCTTAAAGCGCGTTGCAGCTAACCTGGCGCTCGTGACATCATAGGGGCAGAGACAATCGCTCCGAGAAATCCAATTGCGCGTCCGGAAACAGCTCTCCCGCTTTCTGTCGCGCGATTCCATCGGTACGCGTGAGCGCCTCGGCGAATCGTACGTCAAAATCGAAAATTGACGTGAACAAGGCCTGCGCCTTTGAATCTGACCACTAAGAAGTGAGTGCCAGGTTCCGTGCAACGGATATAGAGCCATCGCGGTCCCGCGGATCGGCTGTTCGTTTTACTCTTTTCCGTTGCACGGAACGTTGCACGCGTTCATTCCCGACTCGCCGAAGAAATCGCGAATCCGTTGAAATTCGCGGGTAAATCGCGCAGCTGGCAGGCTCCTAGGCAGAAGCGCGATGACACCGCCGGTAGAGGCAAGAGCCGATGATAGAGGGGCGGCGCCGCGCTTTGCGATGGCGTCTCCTTCGATTTGGTGTCGGATTTCCCCCGAGCCGCCATTTTCCTCGCTTCCTCCCTGTCTCTGTCCCTCGCGCTCTCCCTGCGCTCGTCTTCTCCCTCCTTCGCAGTACACCCACGCTGGCTGTTTCCACCCTTGCGCGCGTCTTCCCTAAGACAGGAATGCGTTTCCTTATCAAAACGATCCTCGGACTGCCGGCTCCGCCACTCGTCTCTTCTTTTCGAGTCGCGTTCTTTCCGCCCTTGTCTTGCCCCGTTGTTCCCATTCTTCGAGGATTACCGGGTGGATCGATGATCGTTAAAGTCGGAGCGGAAGAGCGACGGCGAAATTCGTCAAGGAAAAAGGCCCGACGCGAGTCCAAGGAGAACGGGGTGCGAGAACTCGTTGCTGTCGCGATGCTCGTCGAATCGATAGGTTTACGGTGTGTTTACCTGGACTGGTACAGGTGTATCCTTCGACAGTGGAGCTGTGGAGCAATTACGCCAGCCCATATAGAATTTATTATAAAAATTCATAGAGTTCTTGAGATCTGTAACGATTTTTATTATATAATTTATTCTACGGTTATTTTACAGTTTCTCGCGAAAGCATCTTGATCACTCGGATAATGAAACTTTCAAATGGATCTAACACTTTTAGAAGTTAAAAGTGTAGAATTCGAACTGTAGAACTGTGGAGCAATTACGCTCCTATATACAATTTCTTATAAGAATTGATAGAGTTCTTGAGATCTGGAACGATAATTACTGTATAATTTATTCTACGGTTATTTTACAGACGAAAACATCTTGATCATTCGAATAATGAAACTTTCTATTATTATATAATTTATTATACGGTTATTTTACAGTTTCTCACGAAAACATCTTAATCGTTCGGATAATGAAACGCTCAAATGGATCTTGCAGTTTTAGCGTTTATTCGAAACGTGTTAGAAGGTCGGTAAGTGCAAGTGCTAAGGTCTCCGAGGTAGTGACCCAACAGGAGGACGGTTGAGAACGAGGGAAAGGGGGACAGAAGAAAGCAGCGACATTGACAGCGGAAATGGCAACGGCAACGGCAACGGCGACGGCACAGGCGGGCAGCACCGGCACCAGCACCAGCATCGGCATCAGATTTCGCTGTACTGCGTTTAATTGCATTCCAAAATGGCTCTGTGCAAAATCGACCCGACGATACTCCCGTTCGTCCTCGTTCAGCCCCTTGAAGTTCACCGACAAACGGTCTGGCATCTTCACCGGCGTAAATTCAGATAAATTAAACCGGACCGGCTCTCGTAGATTTCAACGCGGCGCGCACGCCGCAGCCGGTGTTTCCCTCCTCGCATTCGCTTTCACAGCCCGTCCATCGTTTCAAGTATCCGTCGCTTCACCTAAACCCACCGGTACAAAGCACCCGGGGAGCACAGAGTTTATAATGACGCGTTCGCGAGTCCGGCGGATTCGTCGCAAAGGGAGGCGCGGCCAGACAAACGCTCCGCACCTCGCGTCGCGACTAAACGCGCGTACCCCGAGCGAATTTCTAGAGTGCC